CTTCCCTTGTGGGCGTTTGTCGTTGATAGCAATGATGATAGATTTAACGTTTGCTAGGTTTTAAAACTGGTTTTTATTTCATCTTCGAAATGTGAGATTACTTTCTGGAAAAAATATTTATCAAGATGTTTGCTGTTGACAATGTAACCCACAGGCAATAAAGTTACATTATGTGACCAAATCATTTGGTTAGAACAGCCAGATTTAACAATATTTTAAAAGTGTTCTCAAATTCAAAATGTGAAAACTTGATACCTTTCCTTGACGTTACTTCTGTCTATAAATACAAGTTACTGTATAATAATGTATTATTTATTTAATTTAGTTATTTATTCTTCTTGTTACTGAACAATGCAGCAGTTCCCAGGTTCAGCAACACACACACACAACAACAAAAACAAAAACAAAAAAAACGAACACAACACACACACACACACACACACACACACACACACACACACACACACCAACGAATGAAGAAAAGTTGAAAATTTCAGCGTGCGGCAGCGTTCATTTTTTGTAGGGCCCAAGGATAAAAGCTGTCCACCAAGCACTTTGTCTTCGAACTAGTAGAAATACAACGTTGGACCATTGATAACAATTCAAACAAGTGGTACCTAGGAAGCGTGCTTTCTTTCATTACATTTTCTGCTCTGCTGCGACAACAATTGTCCTCCAAGGAGAGCTGCAAGAATTCGAAATGTCCTCCAAGGAGAGCAGCAAGAATTCGAATTATCCTCCAAGGAGAGCAGCAAGAATTCGAGTTGTCCTCCAAGGAAAGCAGTGAGCGGCCGATTATTTTCTGGGCAATATCTATAACAGTTTTGGGGATTATAAATATTTTAGCATCTTAAGTTTACCATTTAATCTAATCCGTGATACTTTCAACCAAGGGAAACATAATAATCGGAAGAATAACAAATAAATATTAGAATTCTTTTTGTCTCGAATCCCAAATTATTCCAATAAGAACTAAAATAATCCGTTTTCTAATAAAATTTTGGTATTGTTGATAACAATCATTTATTTTTTGAATATAATATTTTGTACAATTTAAAACGCGTTTTATTCAAGTTTTAATAAAGCGTTATAAGTTTTAATAAAGCGTTATAGATTTTAATAAAGCGTTATAGTTTTCCGAACTGTCAGTTCACAGTATAACATTCGGTGTATATGATTAATACTCACCATTAAATTAAATGACTAATTAAATAATCTGACAACTCTGAATCTCAGCTCAACGAAAATCGTTCCAAGCATCTAAATTTTCTAAGGCTTTTGAATGAGGTATGAATCAGTGGGAGCGGAGGAAGGGGCTTGGCCATGCACAAAAACACACACACGTACAATGTACTTTATATATAAGATATGATTATATGTATATATACATATGTGTGTGTGAATACGTGTGTATTTGTCTGTCAACCATATATATATATATATATATATATATATATATATATATATATATATATATATATGTAGGTAACTCCTCAGAAAAACGACACCTTTAATGGTTTAAAATTAATTTAGAAAAATGAAGTCTTTATGAAGTTTTAATTTCAAAGTAATAGAATAACATCAATAGATAGATAGATAGATAGATAGATAGGAGAAGACTGATAATATATATTATCTGACTGTGATTGATGGCTCAATTGACTGATAGATATAAACAGAGTGATAGATATATTGACAGACACAGGAAATGTTAGATAATGAACATCTAGGTGTAGGAATGGATAGGCAGAGAGATAATAACTGCTGTGGTAGGATCCACCTAATTTGCATAGTGGAGTATCGACCATATAAATATGGTTGGTACCGGGAAGAGAGGGAGGAATCAAGAGATTCAATTCAGAGACTCTGCCCGACTGCGACTCAGTCAACATATTCTCCAGGAACGGTCTTACCAGGAATATACAAAAGACTATATGTAAATATTGTGTACACTTTCTTGTTTTAATACATTTTGTTCTAAGTACATTTTGTGTTGCATTATTATTCCATGCATTAGTCAAGTTTCAACAATAACAAAATGGAATAGATAGATAGATAGATAGATAGATAGATAGAAGTAGGTTGTGTAAGATAAATAGATAGAAATAGGTTAATATAGATACATAGAAGTATTTTGTGTAAGATAGATAGATATAAGTAAGTTGTGTATGATTTTTCTGTTTTCATCACTATATATATATATATATATATATATATATATATATATATATATATATATAGAGAGAGAGAGAGATACTTATAAAGACAGATAAATAAGCAGATTTGAAGATTGAAGAAGGAGTTTGATATAAAACTACATATATATAAATATATACAGATAAATAAGCAGAGAGAGAAGATTGAGAGAAGAGTAGATAAATAGTTTGATATAAAACTAAATATATTGAATTGGATAGATAACGATGGAACAACCCTGGGTAGAGAGAGAAAAACAACTCGTACAGAAAAATTAAATAGATTGAGTCGAGAGGTTGGTTCGTCTGATAGAACGTTATAACTGTAATGTGTTCGTCTCTTCTTTGGGTACTCTATATTATTTGTCTTGTGCCACCCTCAGCTAAGGATAGACAGGATTAATAAATATTTGTTTACTGTTCGCGCCAGAATAGCAAACGAACGACAGAATTGCTAATTCTGCAGTTGAGTCATTTGACGTTATCATCATGCTAGTCAACTATCACACTTTTACAAGAACACAAATGTACTGGATATTCTATTCTTGTTATCAAAACGGTTTTCATTCAAGCATGTTGGTGACTTGAGAACACATTTCATTATAAGCCGAGCCATGTCTAAGATGAATCTACCTTTGTCTTTACTAAAAATTTTGTCTGTACCAATTGATTCAAGATCAATAATCGATAAAGCATTTGTCTATTTTCTTTTTAGGTCATCCATCTTCTGTGTTCAACCCTCCATCTCGTGAGATGAGTTGCCAAATTTTCAGTGGCGTCGACCATTTAAGTTGGAATTGGATGGAAACAAGACAAAACAACAGAGAATATGGTGAAGGGAAAACACAAGTGGCCTGGTGGGTAGTGAGAAGAACTTAGTTTATTTTCGTACGGGTTTTATTCGTTTGCTCGAGATGGGCGTGAAGGTAGGAATGAAAATAGTTGACCCCTGACAATTTTCGTACGCGCCATTTAATAATCAGGAAAGCTAAGAGTCCAGGCCTGAAATTAGTTTCCATGTACTCAAGTTAAATAATACGTAGGCGTTAAATAATAATAATAATAAAGAAAGAAACGAATAAGTGTAACGCTGACCATTGCCGTATTCCATTGTATAGACTATTACGCGGTAGGTTTGGTTTGGTTTGGTTTGTTTTACGGCATATCAACACCTCAATGGGTTATTTAATGCCGAGAAGATTTTTATTGCTGCTAATATTTTTTTCAAAAATATATTGCTGCTAATATTTTTTTTCAAAAATGTATTGGTCTATATTTCTGAGATGAGGTATTATGAACCCTATTTACATTATTCGGACTATTGTCCTCATGTTGTGGTCGCCATATTTATTACAACGTTTCGCCCGTTGTACGCTCCGGCCTTCTTCAGGTGGTTGGAATGTCGAAATGAACCCTTTATTTCACTCACTGGGGTAGACTGTTCTAGTTCCACGTGCCATATTTTAATGGATGTCAGTTATCAGTTATCTCCTGTTAATTCCCCTCTCCAAGTTCTCCACTGCCTTAACCGGGTATTGAACTTACACTCTTTGGGTCCTGTCACTGGATCTAACTAACGCCTTTATCCATTCTGCCATGTGTCAAACTATTTGGCCTTCTATTGGATAAACAATTAGTGAAAAAAGAAAAGAAAACCAGTTAAAGACATTGTTATAATTTGTTAAGGGATTTTGTAATCACAACGGCAACGTAGCAGAAGCGATACTCCTGCTGTTTATTCATACATACACAATATGGCCGACACGGTACTTCCGTGTCTAAACAAGAGCTGAAACGGTTCTTTCTTTTCTTTAGTTCCTTGTTACAATAGACATGAAATCTCGTCTGTAGGTTCAATCATGGGATTCTTGAACATTTTATTTTCACTTTTATAAAAACTTCGCTCCAATTAACAGACTGTTTCTTCGGTGGACAATTCACAGCCTACGAATTGTTTAACTATTAGGAGATAGGATGCATGATAGTGAGTAAAATAGACAAGTCAATGTGTGACCTTTGTACTGGAGATGTCAAAGTCAAACAGGTACAGAAATTCAACTACTCTGGGGTAATTTAGTAACCAATGACAGAAAAGGTGACGCAGAAATCTCAAGGCGCATAGGTTTAGCAAAAGATTCCTTCGATGAAAGCTTATTCACCAATGGGATCCAAGCACTGCAACTAGAATGGAAGAATTATGTGGACTACAAAGGGAAAAAATAAACCTCATTTGGTCATATTTTATGAGAGTATCTTTGTTAGCTTATGAAATTTTCAGCCGACACTCGTAAAAAGAAAATTATTAATTTATATGGCATACGTAGACTTGGCTCCCTAGTCTTGTATGTCAGCCAGTTTAGGTGAAGAACTACTCTTACCCAAGAGATGATGGAAATTCATACTTCTGTAGAGAGTTATAATCACCTACGCCCTAAAGAGAAAGGGTATAAAAAATTACTAACCCAAAAATAGAAGAATGTTTAAGAGCCACTACAAAATAGATTAGATATTTCTCTATTAAAAATAGGTTAAGTCTTTTACATCCGGACCAATGTTGAATATGATGGAGGCACCTCTTTGCTTCCAGTGTCTAGCCTTCTGAGTTAGTTAAGGGAGATTAGTCCCCATAAGTCGAAATGTGCATTCAGTTGATTTATCACTAAAATATTATGATATGTCATTACCAAGAACTTTTTATAAAGATATCTGACGATATGGTACAGTGCAGCTAGAAGTGCATTTATAGCCGTTCCAAGTAAATACTTATTCTTTTATGTGCCGTATCCCTTCAGGACGTAGGCGATTATGGTTCTCCACAGCGTCCTCTCCTTCTTAGGTGTAAGTAACGTCTGTCTCATTATCACTCACAGTCTGTTCTGCCATTCATTTAAAAAATAGTTATCTTACTCTTTCCATTTGATCATCTCGCCTTCATTATGTCCTTGTGGGTGTCAAATTCTCAACGTCCTCTTTCCTCATTATGTATCTCAGAAATTTCGACTGTCTTTTTTCTGATTCTAAGTATAAGTGTCCTTTTTGTTTCCAGTTTCCTTAAAATTTGTTCGTTGCTGACATGTTCAGTTAATGGCATTCTCAGCATCCTTCTGTAGAACCAAATTTCTTTTGCCTAACAGTTCCTCTTCATCTGTGAGTACATTGTCCAGTATTGATTGCTATATAGGAAGATTGATATTACGAAACAGTTAAGCACACTTTTCTTTCTTACTTTCTAATGAAATTTTCGTGTTTCTTAATAGTTTGTTTAACTTTCGAAAAGCATCTTTCGCTATTACAGTGAGATTTCAGATTCCTATGTCGCATTTTCTGTTACCGTATTTCGATGCTCATAACACGCTCTGATACATTAGACGACCTCCCCCCCGCCAAAAAAATAAGGTTTGGAAAGAAGAGATGGAAAATAGTTTATTCCTTGTACTTCATTACCCTCTCCATTCTCCTCAGTTTTAGTCACTTAATAGCATGAAAATCTGACTAATCATGGCAACTCCATCACAGGCCGAGAAGAAATGCCAAATTTATGGTAACTATTTAGAATGTAATAATTCGAAGAGAGGTTAGAGTACATACGACTGAAACCTAAGCTTATTACAGACTAAAATCCTCACTAATCGTGTCGAATTTATCACAGACGAGAATGGAGCACTAATTTTAAATTAGAGACATCTAAACTTGGATGGAGAAATAAGGTTAAATTTGATTTATGTGTTGGTTAAAACATACGGTACTGCTTATCGTGCTACTGAATCTTTATACCGATATTAGAGCTTGAAATGCTCCTTGAGTTTATTTCAACAGCATAAATATCTACACTCAAAATAATTTTAGTTTAATTTTGAAACACCGAATGTTTTTTACTTTCTAGGGCTAAAAATCGAGTGTAATTTGCAAACGAACACTCACTCTACACCCCAGATTTATAACTCCCCTCACCGACCTTCGATTTATAGGACGCAGGGTGGTTGTTGGAGATATTTTATCGGAGAAAAAAATGCGTCGGATAAGCAGCAAATTATAGCACTTGTTAAAACCAAATGCATTGGCACCCAGTCAACAGGTCTGACTAGTTTTTGAAGATAATCAACTAATTCTGTTTACAGAGTTGCTAACCGCAGATTTCGTTACTAACGGCTGCCTTCTTTGCTAACCTCAGACTCCGTTACTAACCGTAGCCTTCATCGCTAACCACTGCTTTCATTACTAACCATAGCCTTCGTTGGTAACCGCAGCCATTGTTGCTAACCGTAGCCTTCGTTGCTAACCATAGCCTTCGTTGCTAACCGTCGCCTTTCGTCGTATCTTCAAAATAGGAACATTAATAAACTTGTTATCGATGTTCAAACTTTGATCGATTATTTTTGGTGTTTGTCATGAATTGCGAGTAAACAGAAATATCGCGCAAATTCAATTCGTTTATTGATTAAACAGATCGATTCCATTAATTTGGCTTCGAAATATACGTCTGTCGGGAAAAAATTGAAATAAGATTTATTTTATAAAAGATCAAAATCTGTTCGTTAGGATTTTTCAGTTGATAAAATATTTGTTCAGCACAAAGCCGAAAAAAGAAAAAATTCTAAATTCTTTCTTTCTTTCTTTCTTTCTTTCTTTCTTTCTTTCTTTCTTTCTTTCTTTCCTACTTTCTTTCTTTCTTTCTATGTTTGAAGGCCTACCTAAAATATACAACATTCTTTTATTCTGGATAACTATTCAATATATCGTTAAACCAAAGAAATTGAACAATAATGAAATTCATCGAATGAAATTACCAAAAAAATGTATAAAAACTGCACATCTCTAATCCAATTCCAGAGACCAAGTTATAAGAATTATATGGAAATCTACCAATAATAACAGACACAATCTATGAAAGGCGAATGTTGTTTAGTAGCCATTGCAGGAGAAATTTTACATTAGCGATCGGCAATTTACTAGCAAAAGACCTGCGCTGTGTTTTTAATATAACTGAATAGAAGGGTTCTTAAAATCAAGGACTTAGAAATCTACTTTCAGACGATCAAAACTGTATTTCACATTAATGCTTATAATTTAAAAGTTGAATGAAATGTTGGGGAATATATAAAAAGCCCATTGTTATCTGTAAAGCAATAGAATAATAATTTATTTGGGTGTATATTATATTGCATGAGTTGGATATACTGTATATCATCGTGTTTAAGGCGATCCGAATATAGAGCGACCCCAGTGTTTTATGTTTTAGAAATGGGCAAAAATCCAAACCTCGTCTATAAGGCGAGGCTGTTACTCAACAAATTTTATTCATGTAGTACGTCTTTGTCACGAGTGGTGTTTTAAGATTTGGGTGTCTAAAATATTTTTCAATGTCATTTTGTGGATATAGCTTTTAATTCACAACTTCATTATATGACAATTTTTTTCCATTTTATCTGTTTTGCAGTTTCAATAAGTTTTTCGTATTTTTGTAGACACCTATAACACCATCTTTCAAAAGTAATGTTATATCGGATTTTGACACATCACCACATGATGCTTGGGAAATTAGTATTAAATAAATATTTTTTTAACTGAAGTTCCCCCTATTCAAGCCGCAAGAGCCAATCAAGGTACAGGGTTACTGAAGAGATTTTTTTTTGTACGAGCGGTAAGATTAAACGGCAAAAGGTGCAATTTATGATGATATGTAGGAAAGGTAACAGTTTATCGTAAACTTGAACAAGGTTAAGATTGTACTTGATCCGAAAAGTACCCTTTTATGATTTGTTTCCAAAAGATGTTCAACTTCCGGGGGTGGGAAATCAATGATAATAGAATATCTGTATTAATACAAATCGATTGGAACATTTAATAAATTAAAATTAATGAGAAACCCGGCTACTGAGATAAATGAAAATAGAAATAAAGACTGAGCACAACCCCCCAAAAGGTTGATAAACCGTAAAAAAACGCAATATTTGTATTGCGTGAAATGCTTCTAAAATCAATGTTTCATTTCTAATCATTCTAGATATATTAGCGCTTTTTTCTTACATAAACGTTGAACCTGTTTTTATTGATTTATTTGCTTTTTACGGCTTATCAACCCTTTTGGGGGTTATTTAAAACCGAAAGATATTTTATACTTTAAAAATAAATTCTTTTTGTGAATGAATATTGCATTGAAATTTTGGGAGATACTGTTATTTGTATTTTTAAAAAAAATCTAAGTCCTATTTTTTTCTAATTCCTACTATTTAATCCATATCTGGTGGAGGAGAAGAGCTTGATTCATACCTTTCTCAGGGACAGGGCTAGGCCGGGGCGGTGCTAGGGTCTCATGGCTCTCCTCAAATTTATGATACGCCCCACCCCCCACACTCTATTACATCTCAATTTTAATAAGGAAGTCTTCATATAAAATACAAATTTTATTGTAACCTAATTATGTACAGTAATGGATCATATGAAATATAGGTGAACAATTCAACCAGAAAAATTGAAAATAAATCCAATGTATCTAAACACAAATTAGAGACATGTCATAATAGATCATTCCATCTTAAATAAATCAAAAATGTTTTATTGTAATTTTTAACATCAACTTGAGAGTTTTCTTGTTAAATAAAAAATTAACACATTCCACATTATGGTTAATTTTTTTTATCAAGGCTTAGCATGAGCAAAACAAATTCACGGATTTGGTTAAAAATTAATAATCCCAGAAAAACGTAAAAATTCGCGAAAAATTTTCAGCCTTCAATAGTCAAATGTTCTTAATAGAATTTGTAACGTATGTAAATGTAGGTAGGAAAAAAGTAAATATGAATAAGATTGTCACAAAGCATATTTTTAATAAATAAAACATTATTTTACACCAAGTTTTGTTTGCATAATAAAACTTTACACCCGGACTCAAGTTATTATCAATATTTTAAATAAGACATGGTATTTTAATTTGAAACTCAAAAATGGCAGAATAGCAAGGATAAGGAAATTACTCACCGTAAGGTGGTGGATCAAAAAAAAAAAAAAAAAAATAAAATAAAGGATAACCGGTTATCGATCCTCGCTCTTCAGATACAATTGAGGACAAAAATATGTGCACAACGACTAAAAAATAAGGCGAAAAAAAGGTTACTATGAGAAAATCGGCAGTATAAATCCCACAGGGAGTTTTCCATTTCGACCGAGCAGACATTCCTTCTAGAAGTGGGAAAGCTTATTAGAGAGTATAAAATTGTCCCAAGAATCCTCATATGGGAATCTGAATGTACTTTGATGATTATGATGAAAAATCACTGGAAAAAGACAAGGCACTGATCGAACAGATTAATAAGAATTTTATAACGAAAACATTAACCCACAAAATATAATCTAATATTGTGTAAAGCTATTGAAGGTAAAAAACGAAAAAAAGACATTCGAGTTGATGTCTTTAATTCTGTGTGGTTTGTGACTCGTTGATTTGCATAACAAAGAATCAGGGTGGGAACTGAAGTCTTTTAAAATTAAAAGCAAGATCTTTGGAATTATAAGGATCCCGGAAAAAGGTACCTGAAATGGCTTTATTTGGTGAGAAATAATATTTGATAACATTGAATGATGTAAATTTCACCTAACATAGCTAATGTCATAACTGGTGTGTGTTCATGACAAAAGTTTTGTTATTGAGCCTTGCGATTTAAGCGTGGCGGTGGCACTGATGTATAAAATGGAATCCTTCAAGATTAGAAGAGATGGAAATCCCGAGGTTATTTCACAAGAAATTGAGTGAAGAATTTGACCCTTACTCAATTTTTTTTCATTCCTATCTATCTTTCCTTGTCTTTATTTTCCTTTTTCTTCTCTCTTCTTTATTCATTTTTCTCTATTCTTTTTCCCTCCTCTTTGCCTTCTCCTCTTCATTATTATTTTTCTTCTTATTTATTGAAAAAAAGTTTGAACAAAGTAACTATAAACAAATATTTTTTCTATCCTCTGCCAGCCGCAATGATGGAGAAAGCATTACTTCGAACCATGGCCAGTGAGACACGCTGCAAGAGTCACTCTGTTTCACGAGGCTCGTCCCTTAATCGAGACGCAATCGCGCCAATCCTCCGAAGGAACGCCATCGAACGATGGCCAATAAACCCAGAAGTCTCCACTGCCACAGGAGTAAAAAATATATATATATATATATATATATATATATATATATATATATATATATATATATATATATATATATATATATATATATCAACAAGAAGAATATTTAACTATTTTTTCATCTCTGCGTCCCAGGCGACGGATCCTGGCTCAACCGCGGACCTGATCAAATTACCGACCGAAAATGTATCCGCACAGGTCGCATCCCAAATCAACGCCTTCCCCACCTTAAAAGGGAAAATATAATGCCATTCGACCGCTTTCCATCACCGCGGTCGAGGCCTACGGGTTGGATTTGGGAAGGGAACCCAGCTGCATCCAAATCTCTTCTGATGATGTCGTTTATTGCTGCATGCCGTGGAAAGCGGCCGGCACTACGACGACAGGGGAGAGGATGCAAACGAAACTCATCGATGGAGGCTCCACATCGCATTTGTGATGCTCACATAATTCGAGTCTATGACGGATCGCGACTTCGATCCGAGTGCACTCATCATCTAGAAGGGTACCGGTAGATAAAGAGGGCACTGCGTTGAGCCAGGTGCCACTACTCGGTTGTGAAGCAGATAGTAGTCAGGCGAGGCGATGCTGATGAAGAGAGAGCCTCAAATTAGTAAAATTGGCCTAGCATTTTATTTTATCCCAGCTTTTTTGTTTTTTCTTCTTCCTCTTTTTTTTATTCTGATTTATTTTTGAAATCTTTACGTCATTTTCTTTTTATTTATTTGATATTAAACGACAAGTTCTTTCTCAAATTCTTTCTATTTTACTTGCCAACTTTTCGACTTCGTTTTTGTACGCATGTGCGTGCGCGTGCGCACGATAATTTCATTTTTTTGTTTTCTTTCATTTTGTTATTATCTTTTACATATATTTATATATTTTTTGTCCTTAAAATTCTTTCTTTCTTTCTTTCTTTCTTTCTTTCTTTCTTTCTTTCTTTCCTGACATATCCATTCCTTCCTTCTCTCTTCTCTCGTATCTTTCATCCAATCCTTCCTTTCTCCTTATTCCATCGGAACCGTTTTTTAAAAATGTTTCTTTCAGACATTTTCCTTCCGTCATTAAAAAAAAATTAAGTATCTCTTACTTTTTTTCACTTATTTATTCATCAACTTCTTTCAATTCTCTTACCGTTTTTCTTTTGCCGAAATGACTAACAACGGATTCATCTGATGTCAGCTAAAATAATGACTCACTCAGATATTCCGAACTGCAACACTAAACACCACCTAATTCTCAACTCAGACTGAAAAACTTCAAAAAATTCCAAAAACCACACACACACACATACACATACAGACATACACGCACACACACACATACCCCCGCCCATAGGCACATACTTATATATTAATTTCTTCAAATATTAATGTTTCATTTTTGAAGAGGATATATAAAAAAAAAAAACATTCAGATGGGAAAACTTTTAATTTATCTGTCAAGTTTGTAATTGATGTAATTTGGGAAACTATTGATTTTATACCTTGTAATAAGCCAGGATTCTGGATTAAACGTTTCCGATCGTACATGTAGACCATCGATATTCCGGTAATTGATGGTTCCTACACGCATTTTAACCTAATGGTTCCAAACCTATTTTGGGCCATGTCCCACTTTGGTATTTCTGGTGCACCCCCCAATAATATTTAATTCTTAAATATTCAAAATTGTACTACAATTCACGTGAAGGTATCTTAAAAAGGCCATTAACTTGGTCTCTAAACAAGCCTCCAAAGATCATGGCCTCCATGAAAGAGAAAATTAAAAAAAATCAAAAAGACAGTTAAATATATATAGTTTCAAAACATATAATAAAGAACTGAAAGGCAGAAATATAAAATTTTTGAATGAAAGTTTATTCTGTAATATACTTTGATCATTTTAATCATGCAGAATGAAATTTGAACTCATGTTGGTAGAGTAAGCCGAAGGGTGCACTTCCTACCCATGTCCCCCCCACCCAATATTACCATGCCCCACCGGTGGGGCATGCGGACCACGTTGGAATCATTGACCAAGAGAAATGAAAGCCATATTGTTTATCTGAAAGAAGGCCGTTCGAAGTGAGGGGCTTAACCAATTAGGCACACTAGTGCACTGGCAAAAAGAGTTAAAAGATTATTAGGACGATAATTCAAGGGATAGGAAGGTTTACCAGAGTTCTTGAAGACAAGAGCTACAGAAGAGAATTTTCAACAAGTTGGAAAGTAAGAAGGAGCAAAGGTATTTGTTGTGTAGTTTAGAAAGAACAGGGCAATTCCACTGATACTGTCAAGTTCGCTTACCTTGTGGGGATCTACTTTGGAGATGATAGCAGAAATCAGGAATGGAGTTATTATATACACATTACTCTTTTAATACATTCTTACAGAGCTGCTAGTAATCACGAGAACCAAACTTATGTGAGATTATACGGTGTCTCATTCTATCAACGAACAGAGACTTTCGTGTAACACAGCCTACTCCAAAAAAAGACAACCTTTTTAATGTTTTTAGTGATACTAGTTTCAAAATTTGGTTGACCTAGAGAAAAGACAGTTGCGAAGTGAGGTGCTTAACCAATTTGGAGTTGATTAGACTCTCTAGTGCACTGACAAAACAGTTAAAAGATTAATGAGACGATAATTCAAGGGATAAGAAGGTTTACCAGAGCCATGAACTACAGAAGAGGATTTCCAACAAACTGGAACGGAAGGAGCAAGATATTTGTTGTAGAGTTTGGAGAGAACAGGAGCCAGTTGAGGAGCACATATTTCCTTAGGTTCACTTCCTTAAGCATTAATCCTGGGCCCCACGTTGGGAATCATTGTTTTAACCGAAAAATCCATGACCGTTTTCTACATTTTTGCGGCCTAACAAAAGAATCTTAAAAATTCTGGATAGCTCTTCTGTATATCGTTAAGCTGAGAAATTATCCAATAATGAAGGGCATAGCGCGGATTAGCCAATAGACTGCAGATCCGTTATCCAATTCCAGATACCAAGGAATAAGAACTATATGGGAACCTACCGATAATTATGAACACACTCTCTGAGAGGCAAGTGCTATTTAATGGTAATTTCTGGTGACGTACATAAGTTGTACATCAGCTTAGAGTCAGTCAGTTAAGGGCCATATGCGATACACACGATTGGGCACTTGTCTCTTTCAATTCAAGACAGATCAGACAGAAGATTTTCCTGCGGTAGGTTGCCGTTTCTTTTGGCGGTAGACTAGTTGACAACCAAGGCTATAGGTCACAGTCTGCCCTGCTATTCAACCCACAGCGAGGGGGAGAAGAGAAGAATTAAGACCTTTCCTAACTGTATTTGGGTGTAAGGGGGATATAATGAACTCGACTGGAATTCAAACTGAAGCTAATATTATGGGATCAAAATGATGGATAAAGGTCAAGGGTTAGACTAACAGGAACGTTCATCTCTCAACTCGGAATCGGAAAGTTTCTTCAGAACAAAATAAATCTTGAAGAGAGACATCTGTTCTTCAAAATAAAATAAATCTATTGGATTCATTAACGGATTTTAAATATACATAAAAAAAAACATTTATTATTGACTTCAATTAAATTCTGAATTTGTTCCATACTGGAAATGTATTAACGTGACAAAGATTATTCTGAAATTTTTAAATTATATATTGTAAAGGTAAAATTATAAAATTATGTAACATATTAAAAATAAATAAATAATACTTGATGTCATGTATGGCAACGAATTCAACAGATTTATCCTAACCTGACGAGTGGATCTGTCATTGAACTTTCATTTATCTCTTAACTATAATCTATCCTTATAATTCTGCTTGTTCCTTAGTTAATTAATTGGTTAGCACTTAAGCCTTGCCATTGCCCCAGATAAACAATGAGCCATTCCTGTTTCCGAGGATAGACAGAAGAAAAGATATATCAAAGGCACTTTTTGTTCGTTTTTAGGTAATGAAAGAAATAAAAAAAAAGAAGATTGAGGAGGCGATAACGCTATCCTGTGTTTAACGTTTGCTTCAGTGAAATAGAAAATCTTTTCAATTTTGAAAATTTTCATTTGTACCATCTTGTTTGTTTAAATAATAAACTGTATTCATACATATGATGCTTAAGCTCAAAAAATTAACGATCGAATGGTAGATTTTTAAGGGGAATTTTATAATCGTAGGAAGAAACAATAAAGTTACTAATAAGAAGGGCTGAATTAATGCATGCAAGACTTCACAGTTCTAGCATCACTCCCTCATAGTCAGCCTATGAACTTTTCAGCCCACCCTCGTACTGGAAAGAAACAATGCAGTTATTAATAAAAAGGTTTAAAATGAATGCATGCAAGATTTCACAGTTCTAGCACCAGTCCTTCATAATCAGCCTATGAAGTTTTCAGTCCACCCTCGTACATAATCATCATGTTCCTTATTTCGCCAGATGCCTGGATAACGACCTCGAAACTAGAATGTTGATGTTCCTAAATTGAGAATAGTACATTCAGTCTAAGAATTCTTTTGACACCGTGTATGTGAATACGATATCATCGTATATTGGTAAGAAGAATTGGTTGGTTGCTCTATGAGACTTTAGAATCGTGGAAACCGCAAAGATCTAATTCAAATATTAACTTAAGAATTAAGATGCAGAAAATTGAAATGGAAAAACCATGGAATTTACACGGTTATTGCTATTATATGACAATCTAAAATTCATATATAATATAGATTTGCATGTGTTCGTACATGGATATATGGGTATACAATCTATGTATTTTACACAATGTGTGTGTTTGTGTGTGTGTGTTTGTGTGCGTGTTGATGAACCTGAGAATTGCTGTCCAATTCCATTGTGCATTGCCCAGAAACAAGAAGAATAAATAACTAAAATAAATAAATAATAATAAATAATTCTCGTTGTCGCAACAGAGCAGAAAATGTAATGAAAGACAGCACGAATCCTGAGTACCACTTTTTTGAATTGTTACCCACCGGCCAATGTTGTATTTCTACTAGTTCAAAGACAAAGTGCTTGCTGGGCAGCTTTTATCCTTGGGCCTTACATAAAATGAACGCCGTCGCACGCTGAAATTTTCAACGTATTTTAAACATACTTTCCTTCATTCCATGGTGTGTGTGTGTGTGTGTGTGTGTGTGTGTGTGTGTGTGTGTGTGTGTGTGTGTGTGTGTGTGTGTGTGTTCGCTTGATTATTGTTGTTGTTGTGTGTGTGTTGCTGAACTTGGGAACTGCTGTCCAATTCCATTCTGCATTGCTCAGTAACAAGAAGAATAGATAACTAAATTAAATAAATAATATATTTTCTTTCGTAACTTGTATTTATACACAGAAGTAACGATAAGGAAAAGATATCAAATTTTCACATTTTGAATTTAAAATATTCTCAATGTTTGCTGTGTTCTAACCAAATGATTTGATCACATGAAGTCACTTTATTGCCTGTGGGTTGCATTGTCAACAGCAAACATTTTGATAAATATTTTTTTCCAGAAAGTAATCTCACATTTCGAAGATGAAATAAAAACCCGTTTTAAAACCTAGCAACCGTTAAATCTATCATCATTGCTATCAGTGGCAAACGCCCATAAGGGAAGTAATTCTTTGATTTCTTGTTGAAAGAATGTCGGATTCTGGATGAAAACCAATTTAGACATCAAAACGAAAACTTGATCTCTTTAATGCTTTTCATGAGCATTTGCAGAATATGGTATGATCTGTCTATTATAAATTCTAATATGACAATGCCGGATTTTTTTTTATTATCCACAACTTCAATAGGTGAAGAAAAATACGATAGAAATCAGCAATTTGTATCAACAAATTGTTTCTCTTTTTTCAGAATAACACATGTAAGTCAACATCTAATGAAATAAACTCAAGAAAAGACTAAATTTAGCTGGATTTTATCGTTTTTCTATTTTAATAATAATGCTGATGACTATTTTAACATTTGTTACATTGGAGCTGGATTTTATTCAGTCTTTAAAAATATTATATTACATCTTGAAGAACTTTATTTTTGAGCCGTCTGCGAAGAGTGTTGAAAAGTTCTCAACTCAACCAAGAAGTAGCATATCCTTGAAAAAAAACCCTGATCTTTTGACATTTGATTAGATTTAAGGGATTGCTGCAAGGATTCTTTTTTAAATGCTCCTAAGCTCCGTCGTCACGGCCTACTTAATGGCCTTCACCCTCATCCAAACGGATCCTTTTGATGGTCCCCTTCCTAGACTTGCTGATTGGTCCTTTGGCAAGAACTCACTGTAGACAATGTGTCTCACATCAAAGGACGGGTAAGTCCCGTTACTTTTCAGACAATCCTTATTTATGGTTAAAACCATAAAGATATCATTTACCGGCTGATAACATTAGACGAAAGACATAAAACTGGGAACACATAAGATGGCGGCCGGGCGTTCTAATAAGAACTATTTTGAAATTCGGTTAACCTGAAAACTTTAAAAACAATAAACAAATATTTGATTATATTAAGCAGTTAATCTTTATTTTAAACAAAAGATTTGAGACTGACTGATTTTAATGTGAATAACAATTTAATAATATTATTTGTGATTATACAGGGTGCGATGGATAAATTGTCGCAATTTTTATATTTTTACTTCCGTTGGAAGCTGAGATACGAACATTTCAGAATGTTTTGGTGTCCATCTGAGGACAGTGCAGAGAATTCGGAAGGAGACGGATGATATATCCAGTCAACATCATGGTGTTTGGAGTGATCACTAGTGTTGGCGACGTTATGCCTCTATTCATCTTCCTACAGGGCCTCAGACTCAACATGAAGGCCTACATCAAGAGCCTTGAGGAGAAAGTGCTGCCTTGGGTGAAGAAGGTAGCTGCTGGAAGACCCTATGTCTGGCAACAAGATTCTGCACCATGCCAGACAAGCAGGAGAACCCAATCATGGCTGTCAAACAATTTCTCCTTATATACTCCCCAACTTGATTATTATGTGTGGGGTGCAGTTGAGCGAGAGACCAACAAAGTTCTTTGTCACACTAAAGATAAACTAAAGGCAAGAATGATGGTAGCATTGACCAACTTAAAGAAGGAGACTGCCCAGAAGAGAGGCAGGATATTCCGAAGTCGTCTGGAGGCCCCGGTTGAAGGCAATGGCGATTCTATTGAATAAATTTACTCTTTAATATTTATTAGATATTTAGTAAATAAAAAATGAAAGTATTATTAAATACTTTCATGTAATTTTCGTAAATATATCTTTTAAAATGAGATGCCAGCGTTATATTCATTTTTGCTTAATATAGACGACAGTTTATCCTTCGCACCTTGTATAAAAGGTTAGTGCCCTACATTGTTTGACACGCGTGCAGTAGCAGTTGTAAAACTTTAAGCCCATTCAACTCGATTCATGAAAACAGTTTCCTAAAGATGACTTTGTGGATCGAAAATTTTAAACAGTTTGAATTTTTTTTATAAATCCTAGAACAGTTTTCTCGCCTGTCTAGCGATGCTCATTTTTGGACAATTTTTCTCACCATTTGTCCTTGCTTTGGATATTGCTGCTACTTCTGGTCTGATTTTTCTGTTGTGTATTTAGAGAATCTTGATAAAATCCAAATCCTGGCATCTCGGCTTCAGTCACTTTTCCACTGCCGTATATATATATATATATATATATATATATATATATATATATATATATATATATATATAATAATAATAATAATAATAATAATAATAATAATAATTATATATTCTTATTGCTCAAAGTATAGTGTTATATATACCTCGGAGAATTTCAGTAAGATATCTTGCGAACTGGATTCTTTAAAGAAGAACCCGGAGAGAATATAATTCCCTAATCAAGATGTTGACACTCTTTCAAAGAAAAGGTTAAGAAGGAAACTCACATCAAGACTAAAAAGAGAAGTTACTGAACTTGAGGAACATATTTTCTTGAAACATTGTTTTAAGAGAAAAACTTTATAAATTTCGATCGACAACCGTATTGGCTGCTCAGTCAATGAATGTGGAATGTTTCCTTATAGGGAAACGCTTACTATTATCATACGTTAAATTAGAATTTCGAAAAGTACTTTTTCCGTTAAAACGTTCGAAGAGAATAAGTTAAATATTCAATATTCAGCATTTACTACATATATCTTTCGGCCATTCGAAAAGTTTAGTTTCTAGAGCAGTTTGGGTTTAATTCTTTGTCAAACAGTAATTAAACAATACTAGATTTTATTTGGTGGCATCAATCTTATATGTGATAAGGTTAATTATGATATACAGTAGAAATAATAGAAGTGGTCATTATCTCAAAATGTCAAATAAAAGAAATGTCCATTACATCAGAATGTCAAATAAAAGAAATGTCCATTACATCAGAATGTCAAATAAAAGAAATGTCCATTACATCAAAATGTCAAATAAAAGAAATGTACATTACATCAAACTATTAAATAAAAGAAATGTACATAACAACAAGATGTCAAATAAAAGAAATGCCCATTGCATCAAAATGTCATTGAGGTTCAGTTTTCAAATCTTGATACACGTAACGTCAAAATTTAAATTTGACTGTTAAGCCTTTCTGCATCATTAACATTTGCGATGTCAATAACAACGACGGTTCTTTGTGGCATGTCTCCCTCGACTGCGCCCTAGACGAGATATCTCGAGATATGCGCAGTAGAACGAGAACAATCTACTACAGCGTAGATTTAATAAAAGGTTTAGTTCGAAGTTACATGAAGATTTACACGAATTAACCAGCAACCGATAATCGCTGAGACTGCAACGATGTGCTAACAACAAGAAAGACGGGTGGGGGATAATAATCTATGTGTCAATAAATAGTGATAGAAAATTTAGAAAATAGTCATTTTTGAACGAATTTGGGGGAATTTTCAAAGCAGATATGGAAGAGGAAATCTTCCTAGGGACTTGAACGAAGTCTCAATTACTTCGTGTGGACGAAAAGAAAGAAGCGTTTATTCATGTTTAGTGCAACCGCGCAAAAAACATTAAATGAGATGAGAGAAGTTTCGATTCCGATGAATACAGGCATCTAAGGAGGAGGGAAGTTGTCAATGGCTTACGGCCATATCACGTTGAAACACCTGTTCTCGTCTAATCGCTGAGGTTAAGCAACGTCGAGCCTGATCAATGCCTAGATGGGTGACTGCTGGGGAATACCAGGTATTGGATGCGTAGATGGTGTGATTAATAAAAGCTCGAGAGCCGAATTCGAATTCACTTATTAACACATATTACTCGATCATGAATTGCTAAATGACATGATAGCCGAAGTATCAGTCTATATTTCTGAGATGAGGTATTATATACACTATTTACATTATTCGGACTATTGTACTCATCTTTGTCGCCATATTTATTACAACGTTTCGGCCTTTCAGTATCCGTCTATATTTCTGAGATGAGGTATTATGTACACTATTTACATTATTCGGACTATTGTCCTCATCTTTGTCGACATATTTATTACAACGTTTCGACCGTTGTACGCTCTAGCCTTCTTCAGGTGGTTGGAATGTCGAATTGGACCCTTTATTTTGCTCACTGGGGTAGACTGTTCTAGTTCCACGTGCCATGTCTAACGGATGTCAGTTATCAGTTATCTCCTGTTAATACCCCTCTCCAATTTCTCCAGCGCCTTAACCGTGTATGGAACTCACACCCTTTGGGTCCTGTCACTGGATATAATCAAGGACTTTATCCTCAAGGACTCAGGGCACAATGGATAAATGCGTTAGTTAGATCCAGTAAAAGGACCCAAAGAGTGTGAGTTCAATACCCGGTTAAGGCAGTGAAGAATTTTTTTTTACTATTAAAATGCCTTAAAAAAATACAATCATGCTTTTTCTAGCTTCCAGTCATATAAAAAAAAGTTAGTACACTCCACGAAGTTCTTATTTTTAAGCAATATGAATATATCAATAATGGCTCTTCTTTTAAACAATGGATGCAGAGTGAGGCTCGCCTCAAATGAGGCTTAATTTGAATCCGTTAACAGAAAATTACAAAAATATTGATATATTCAAATTACAGATTCAGCAGATTTTGCAGTTATACTATCTTTAATTGTTAATGTCGATATTTAGCAGGATTTAGATGCTCGACTATTATCCAAATTTTTGAACAGTCAAGGAATCTTCATGAATTGATTTGTAAGAAAATTAAACAAATAAGAGTAATTTGAAAGTTTCGAACCTGTAAGAAATCTTTATCCGATTCGACCAGCACGTTACGAAAAATGCAATATTACACATGGATTTTCATCAAATGGTTTGAAAGGAAACAGTTTTTGCAGAAAAAGAAATCAGTGTTGGAATTTTAAACATTTAAGTAAATTTCATCTACAGCGACCAATGAATATTTGAAGAAGCACTTTATAAAATTGTAAATAAAATGTATTTGCAAATTTTCCAAATCCCAATGTATCTTCAATGATGTCAAGAAATCCCCCCCCCAGTTCATTGGGAAAATAAAAACAGTATTTTTACCAGGTCACTATACGAGTTATACTGATAACAGGTAATCCATTACCATCTCCTGAATGATCGGGCCATCTCTCACTAAACCAGTTTCCTCATCAGTTTATAACACTAATCTTATAAATATAAGCAATTATACTCGTCCTTAGGTGTTTTAGCATGTAAATCATCAAACCAATACCCAAGGGAGAAAATAAAAGGTAAAAAAAAAAGAACTAAGAACATATATTTCTGGCGAAAGTAATCGTCTAGAATCTAAGTTCAGAGTCCAAAGGAAAAAAAACCTCCGATACGAGTAAAGTAAAACTAACTAAACAAAGTGCTCAATACGCTAAGCAGAGCAAATAAAGCAAAGTAAAGCTAAAGAACCAGACAAACCTACATAGGTTTCACCTACGCGGATTGTCCCTAATTTTTCTCATGCTGTATCCGGTAATTAAGTTAGCCACATTAGACATGCATCTATAGCTTAATTTTATATAATTTTTATTAAATATTTCATACAATTCACTAGTTTGTATGTTTATATATAGGTTTATATTTTATGTTCTGATTGCACCTCTTTAGCCAGTCTACCCTGATGATCCACGTAGGTGAAATCTGTCTAGGTTTGTCTAGGTTTGCTATATATATATATATATATATATATATATATATATATATATATATATATATATATATATAGTCTTAAGGGGTGCTATATTTATGGGATAAAGGGCACAATATCAGAGATAGAGCGTGTGTACATATAAAAGTGAACATAAAGTTGACTTCAATGTTCAATTTTATTCATAGATACATACATATATATATATATATATATATATATATATATATATATATATATAGATAGATAGATATATAGATAGATAGATATATAGATAGATAAAAAGAAAGAACAGTAAGATATATAATCCGGTGTTCTTATAGATATTTTTATCAGAATCTATTCATATAGACACGCGACCGTGTGGTTAGAATGGAATTTTGACTTACCGACTATAATGTCTAAATTTGAATTTTACAATGGTCAATTTGTTAGCTGTTTTCTTAATGTTATGTGCTTGGCGGGTGTGATTCAAGCGGACGGCATCGTTGGACAGTGTTTTAAAACCATATCGCGACTTGACACAAGAATTGTGAGTGAAAGTCGGTATACGGAACTGTTCAGAAATTGTAGATTGTTGTCCTGGCACGAAATCCCACGTTATCGTGACTGCAAGTTTAAGGACATTTCAGCTCAAATTGTTGTCTTCCCCACCCCGGATTATGAGTTCCATCCCAGAAAATGTAACAAATGTCTGCCCGGCATAGTTGCAGTATAAACCAGGTGTGGGTTACGCGGGAGTTGAGCAAACACATATGTGCGTGAGCGAGCGTCTGTAAAAGGAATTTATTTAGGTAACCTAGCAGACGAGTGTAGTGTGAAACGGGTACCCAGCAATTATCTAGCGATGTATCTCTGTCATTTGGCTCCTATCTCGCCAGATTTTTCATATTAATTTATCTCAATGTATTTTAGGGTCACATCACGCTGAAACATTAATTAGCGTAGGATCACCGAAGTTAAGCAACGTCGAGCCTAGTCAGTACCTAGATGGGTGACCGCTTTGAAATACCAGGTGCTGTAAGCTTGGATGTGCGGGTTGTAAGACTTAGATGTGCGGGTGGTGTATAATGGATAATGGCTCGGAAAGTGATAATCGGAGAGCTGAGTTCCAATTCCATTTGGATCTGTTATATTCACTTACGCGTAAATATCCGTAGGAAAAGCATGAATTGACCTCTTCTAATCCTATCTATCGTTTAGTTAATAAGACTTGTCGTTCTAAACCATTATTATCTCAAAAAAGTCCAAAATATTTTCTGGCTTTAAATGTAAATGTTTTATGGACCGGAGAAAACGAATCAGCCATCTCATCTATCTATCTCAGTCCGTTCATATCTATCTATCTATCTATCTATCTATCTCGGTCTGTTCATTATCTATCTATCTATCTATCTATCTATTCAGTTTGTTCATATCTGTCTATCCATTTCAGTCTCTAGATATCTATCTATTTATCCCTTTTCTTTACATAACAGCCAGTAGACATTTGAACCTGTAAACCCAGCGGTTTATGAAAAAAAATTATTTTCTTTTTAATGTCTATTTTGTGTTCGTTACTCAACGAGTTCCTCGCAAAGACAAAAGGTGTGTGTGTGTGTGTATGTGTATGTGTGTGTGTGTGTGTGTGTGTGTGTGTTTGTTATCATGGCGGAAAAATAAATATACCGGACTTTGCATGCCACCCCCCCTAACCTCAGTGTTACTTCCCCCGATCCGCTTTCGTTGGAGTTAATGAGAGTTTGAACGCTGAAGTCTTCGCGTTAATTGCCAGGAAGTTATTTCGTTACACACGTCTCTTGAATTGGAGATCAGATAGGGTGTTCCGTTTGCCCGGGGCTCGAACCAGATTTATGATGGCGAATCAATGGAATTGCTCTTTAACGAAGAACTTTCACATATACAATCCCTGCTTTTCGCGATTTTTTTTTACTTTATCATTTTTAATTGATTTCTTTTTATTCACAATTGCACAACAGATACAGGTCTCTTTCCGCTTCTCTTTCTATCTCTTTCTCTTTCTCTCTCTCGCCCCTCTCTCCCCTCTCTCTCTCTCTCTCTCTCTCTCTATATATATATATATATATATATATATATATATATATATATATATATATATATATATATATATACACACACACACACACACACACACACACACACACACACGCGCGCGCGCACACACACGGTGGAGTAATGATTAGCGGCTTGGATTGAGAATCGGAGATCCGAGTTCGAATTCCAGTCGAATCCATTAAATTCGGGAAAGGTATGGATCCTTTCTTCTCCTTCCAGCTATGGGTAAATAGTAGGATAGACTGGGTTTTATAGCCTTGGGTGGCAACTGGTCTAAGAGAAGGACAACTCTGAATTCAAAACCTGCGGAAGGTCGTTTGGGGACCCTGTGGCACGTAGTGCTCCAGGTCTCTTTATTCACCCCTTCAAAAAGTGTGGATGGTCCTGTACGAAATCTTCACCACTATAATCAAATCTCATGTGCTGTTGTCGGTCTGTGTTTCCTAGGAACCGATCAGCTTGACCCTCATACGTCGAATTCGACGGGGAGAGTCGAATATATATATATATATATATATGTATGTATGTATGCATGTATGTATGGTGCAACAGCAAAATTGTCTAATTATATTGTATCTTAGAAATAAAAATATCTTTTCCTGAAATTCTCCGAGGTTTTTATAATACGATTGGACTCTACTTTGAACAAAAAAAGAATCTATTTATCTCGAAGTTGAAAATGATGATTCCTCTCTGCTGTTGTGACCTCCTGACGCACTTTTCATCTTTACTGGTCTTTCTTTTTAAAACTTATTTACCATTCTCTTGATGGTTCTTGAGTGGACTTTAAAGATGGAAGCCAGAATAGGAATGTTGCTACCATTACTGAACGCATGAATGATCTTTTTCCTCTCACCATTGCTCATTTTGGAAGACAGTGGGGCTGATGCAAAACGATTTTAACCTGCTCTCTTTCTAGCTGAATAACTGAAAGGAGTTTTCTGTGATTCTTCCGACAAATGGTGTCAAGATGGCTGAACGTCTTATTTGAAAACCTGGAAAAAAGAAACTCAATTAGTTTTGTGGTATTTTAGATATTAACCAATTTGTAGGATGGACAATTATCCAACGCTGTTACACGATTTGGACTATTTTGATGTATACTATATATATATATATATATATATATATATATATATATATATATATATATATATATATAAGTAAGTAAACCTAAATAGTCAGACTAACCTACCTAGGTTTCACCTACATGAGATTGTCAGAGGTGGACTAAAGAGGTGCTATAAAAACAGAAAATATATAGCCTACAACACAAAAACATTTATATATTTTCTGCTCTTATAGCACCTCTTTAGCCAGTCCGCCCTGACAATCTGCGTAGGTGAAACCTAGGTAGGTTAGTCTGGCTCTTTAGGTTTACTTACTTAGTTTGCTCTACTTAGCGTATTGATCCCTTTAGTTATTTTTACTTTACTCGTGTCGGAAGTTTTTTTCTTTAGATTCTAGACGATTATTTTCACCGGAGGTACATGTTCTTAGTTCTTTCTTTTTTTACCCTTTTTTTCCCTTCGGTATTAGTTTGTTCGTTCAAAAGCTAAAATACCTAAGGTTTTTCCGGACGAGTATAATTGCTTACATTTATAAGTTTATTAGTGTCTTCTAGCTGAGGTCAATGGCATGAGATAGATCAACTGAGTCGCCATCTTGATCACCACAGCTAACAGCATCCAAATTTTTCTTGTGGACTCTACTGGAAAATCTTGTTTACAGTCTGAAACTAAAAACAATTTCTGAATTAAAACAATCAATTTCTGATAAATTTTCTTAAATTAATGTAGAAATGTGTCAAATGCTTTATACAAGTTTTGCTGATGGCGTTCAGCATTGTGTTGAATATGAAGAAGAACCTTTTAAAAATGTCAAATAGTTTTTTTAATCATAACAAATCATTTTGTTTCGATGTGAAAATATTTATAAATGTTCTTAAACTACTTTAATTTAATTTTGTTCAATAAAAGTTAACAAATAAAAAAGCCGTTAATTTTGCCGCAAGTTATATATATATATATATATATATATATGTGTGTGTGTGTGTGTGTGTGTGTGTGTGTGTGTATAGAATTGGTGTATACGGAATAAATTCCAATAAACAACAAATACTATTTTGAAAAGAGTGCTCAATACAGTATAGAGCGAATATAATTATTTATTTAAAAATTTTAACATAAATATGTTATAAAATCATTACAAAAATAGTCATTTTGTTTCAACACTTCTGGTGTCTTATCAAGTGATGGTGATTCTATTAGTGATTTCATAACATATTTATGTTATAATTTTCGAATAAATAATTACACACACACACACACACACACACACAAACACATATATATATATATGTTGAGATGTTGTGAGTTTCCCGCGTGTCGGTGTATGAATCAAGACAAACACAGTTGTAGAGGAAAATACTGGTATATTCATAAAAGCAATTAACAATAGAGTGATTAGTAGAACGAAGGTTGGTTAGTACGAAACAATATCCAAAGTCTATAGTCCAACGGTATGTACCGGGTAAGCTTATCTGGACTGCTAAGATATTTAGCCACCCCACGAGGGCGTCGTGTGCGGCACAAGGCCTTTTTAATGTGGGCATTCCTGAGCCATTTTCGCTGGCAAAAATAACCCATTTGAACCTGTATAAACGGGTTCAGGGCCGGTTTACCCTCCCGAAGGAGACTCCGCCCTTCGGCGTAGCCCTCCTTCGGGTTCCTCGCCCCAGGAAGAGAGTTGAACCGAGCAGTCGCTCAGAAAGTATCTGGAATGCTAAGATATTTAGTCACCCCCACGAGGGCGTCATGTGGCACAAGGGCCTTTTAATGTGGGCATTCCCGAGCCATTAGGCTCGGCCAAAATAGCCCTGTTTACCCGTATAAACGGGTTCAGGGCCATAACCTCCTGAAGGAGACTTCGCCCTTCGGCGTAGCCTCCTTCGGGCTCTCGCCCGTAGGAAGAGAGTTGAACCGAGCAGTCGCTCAGAAAGTATCTGGGCTGCTAAGATATTCAGCCACCCACCCACGAGGGGTGTCATGCGGCCTAAGGCCTTTTTTAATGTGGGCACCCCCGAGCCATTAGGCTCGGCCAAAAAATAGCCCATTTGAACCCGTATAAACGTGGGGTTCAGGGCCGATTTACCTCCCGAAGGAGACTTCGCCCTTCGGCGTAGCCTCCTTCGGGTTCCTCTCGCCCGTGGGAAGAGAGTTGAACCGAGCAGTCGCTCAGAAAAGTATCTGGGCTGCTAAGATATTCAGCCACCCACCCACGAGGGTGTCATGCGGCACAAGGGCTACTAACTCAGCCAAAAATAGCCCATTTGAACCCGTATAAACGGGTTCTCCCACCCTCCCCGAAGGAGACTTCGCCCTTCGGCGTATCCGGAGACAGAGGGAACCAGTCGCTCCAGAAAAGTATCTGGGCTGCTAACCCTGACTCTCTCCCCAGAGCTGACTTATTAAGAGGACCAGTCCATTACTAGTTAGAAGGTGGGTGCCCCAACAATATATGTATATATATTGAACAATAAAAAAATTAAATAATTAAAATCATCAGACACACTGAGTTGTATATTAATATTCCTTTGTTTTTATATTTATTTCATTTAGATTCTTCGACTAGTTTCGGCCAACATGGCCATCATCAGGAGAAAAATAATTTTCTGCTTGCTGGTAGCAGTGAACTACAGAAATGAATGTCTTGAGGGAGAAAATGAACTTTTGTCTGTAGTTTTCATTTGTTTTTTTAACGCGAATTTTGGTCATGTCTCTGTGTTGGTCAAACAGTCTCTTTTAAGTTGTTATTTGTGATAAGAGCTGGATGAATTTATGCTGCTCTGAATTCCCTTGGTCATTTTGATATATATATATATATATATATATATATATATATATATATATATATATATATATTCCGCGTCCTAAAGGGACATGGACGATTATAACTTTTTTTTTTTTTTTTACTAATCCCTTTTATTAATCCCTGGTTCTTTACAACCTTTGGTTCTTTTTTGGCATTTGTTTCTCTTATCATTTACAAACTCGTCAAGTAGGATTCTCTCTATTGCATTTCCTCCTTTCACTGTAATTTGTGGGTGATAAATTTTCCGAACCTTCTTTCCTCAATGTTTCCTTAGCCTAATGAGCCACGTGACAAAACTCATCATCCATATTCTGATAAATAGAGCGCGCAGCAGAATCAGGGCAGAAATAGGACAAGAACAGTGCGGGTTCTACAAAGACATCGACAACAAGGAATGTGATATTCATGCTTAGAATGTTATCAGAAAGAACAATATAAATGGAAAAAAAGACGTGTACGTATGTTTCATAGACTACGCAAAGGCCTTCGACAAAGTACGACACAAGGATCTGCTAAACGAAAAGAAAAAATATTTG